GAATCGTCTGTAATAACCAGCCAGACCCAGAAAACCACGAACTTCAGATACGTTCGTAGGYCGTGACCAATTAGTGACGGTTTCAATTTTCGCCGGATCGACTTTGACACCTTCGGCAGAAATTACGTGTCCGAGAAAAGACACTTGATCGAGCCAAAATTCACATTTGGAAAGTTCTGCGTACAAACTTTTTGTTCGAAGAGTCTCCAAAATAATTTGAAGATGTTGATCATGTTGCTTTATTGACTTTGAGTAAATCAAGATGTCGTCAATAAATACGATAACAAATTCATCGAGATAATCTTTGAAAACTCGATTCATAAGATCCATAAAGACCACTGGAGCATTAGTTAGCCCAAAAGGCATTACTAAGAATTCGTAGTGCCCATAGCGAGTTCTAAATGCTGTTTTCAGAATATCACAATCTCGGATACGAAGTTGATGGTACCCGGACCGAAGATCAATTTTGGAAAAGTATCGTGCCCCTTGTAATTGATCGAACAGATCATCGATTCTTGGCAACGGATACTTGTTACGAATATTTACTTTATTAAGTTTCTGATAATCGACACAAAGACGCATCGTACCGTCTTTCTTTTTAATGAAAAGAATAGGAGCTCCCCAGGGTGAAACACTGGGTCGAATGAAACCTTTCTTCAATAGATCATCGAGTTGAGTTTTAAGCTCTTTCATTTCAGTTGGAGCCATTTGGTAGGGAGCCTTGGATATAGGAGAAGCTCCCGGGACTAGATCGATAGTAAATTCAACTTTCCATACCGGTGGTATACCCGGTAAATCGTCGGGGAACACATCAAGATATTCAGAAACAACATGTATGGATGTTGAAGTAGGAAATACCTATTCGGGATCTTGTAAAGCAGCAAAAAAAACTTTCATTTTTTTGCCACGTATATTGTTTCACAGTAATAGAGACTACTGTACTAACATCTTCTTTTGGAGTACCTCCTTGGAAGATTGCTTCTGGGTTGTCTATATCCCCAAACAGAATTTGTTTGGCATTAAAGTCTATTGTTGCCAGGTGGTGTTACAACCAGTCCATACCCAATATTAAATCGAAGTAGGACATATGCATTGGAAGCAGAGTGACCTCTCGTATGCAGTCCCCAATAAGCAACGGATAGTTGGAAAAACGAGTTAGCACACAGATTGAACCACCCATTGGAGTAGATATTACCACTGGAAATTCGGTGATTTGCTCATACGATTTTAATCGGGATTCTAATTGTTCAGAAACAATTGAGTGTGTCGCACCAGTATCAAACAAACATAAACAGATAAATCAATTAATTTAACATGACCCAAAATCATACCCGCTTGAGATTTGCTGCCAGGTAATGCAAAGACTCGTCCACTAGTACTTGGTTGTTTACCTTTCCCATTGTTAGTTTGGATCCGAGCTTTGGGACAATCTTTTGCCATGTGACCTTGTTCTCGACAATTGAAACAGGAACCGGTTATCTTTAAACACGGACCCGGTTGATGTCGAAGATTGCATCGATCACAATTAATAACAGAGCCAGAAACATTTTGACTCCCACTGCTAGACAACACTGGAAGTCGTAGCGTGAATAGATTTGAGTCTTTTTGAGTATTGTTACTCGACTTTGATTTTACAAAACGAGGGTTGTTTCGGAAAGATTCAGATCCGCGTTTCTTATTGTCAACGCATGAAGTTAACCATTGTTGTCGTGACCGATCAATATTCTTTGCTGTGTCGGCCACTTCAGTAACGGTATGAAAATGATGATTCAAGAGGCGATCTTTATACCTCGAGTTCAAAGTCCATTTAAATTTGTCAGCTTGTTGGACTTGAGTGCCTGTAGTATTTCCCGCAAAACGAGAAAATTTAAGAAACTGCTCCATGTAGTCGGCAATTGTTTCTTCCTCGCCTTGCTGGATAGTAGCATATTCCCGCACATAGGCATCGCGATCAGCCGAGGTAAAGTATTGCTTGAAGAAAAATTCTTTGAAATTATTCCAAGACAAGTCATTAACAGATGGAATCGTTTGGATACAAGATTCCCACCAGTTATTGGCTTTTTTCTCAAACATATAAGTAGCCAAACGGACCCGATACTGATCTGGAACATCTAAGACATTAAAAATATTTTCTATGTGTCGAATTTAGTGTTCGGCATCCACAAAATCTATGGCAGTTGAGAAAGACTGAGATTTTTGTTTGTTAAACCTTTTAAGCCATATATATTTCACTCGTTGGGTTACCCGAACTGGATGCAGGAATTCCAGTATTTGGTGTAGTAACAGGATTTGGATTTGAAGGAAGATTATGCGCTAATTGTTGCATAGCCTGAATAGCCTGCTGCAGATATGTAGGCATCAGACTTGACATGGTCTGACGGACCACATCAGCAATATTGGGTTCACTTTCACCCTCCATTAGATTGGGGTTAGGGTTTGGGTTACCTTCAGGTTGGATCTGGATTTGCGTGGGCGACCACATCTCGACATTCTAAAATAAAACAACATGAAAATCAGAATTCAAAATAGTTATGGATTAGAAAAACGGTAGATAGAATTAGAATCTAGTATACCCGTTCTTATGTCTACCCATTTCTCACAGGTCAAGCTTACTTTATCTACAAGTCAAAACCTATGCTCTGATACCACACTTGTAACATCCCCCGTCCCCGTGGTCCGGAACGAGCGGTGTCACTAATGGGACTTAATTCGAAGACACAAACATTGCAGAGCTACTAATAAACTCCAAATGTAGATTAACTTCTAAAACATGCTTTACAATCCAAAATATTACATTCTATCAACTATTTATAAGTTTAGAATATTGTACATCTACCAACGAGTTTACCAACTCCAAAAAGTCAAACACTCAATCTCAAGTCCCGTCCCTTATCAGAATCACTTTAAACCTGCCGTGTCAGAAAACAATAACACGACTGAGCACAGGGCTCAGTGAACAGATTGTATATAAACTTGAAATGATAATACATAACATCGATAATAAAGCGGAAGACTTAAAAATCAATGAAACTGAATTCATAGAAAATCAAGACGTTTCACAGTTCTCATTTCAAAACATCATTTAAACACAATCCATCAATTCCTGTGGTGTTCATGGGGTGGCCAAACCACACGAACTATCGGGCCGGCGTGCGGGCACACACCCCGATTCCCCCGTGAATTTAACCATGGTCACATGATGGGTAATCTTAGGATCGATCCATCCTCCCTGGATCCAATAAAATCGGCCTACTCCACAAGGTGGGTTCACGTAAGCCACTATTGGGCCTAACCTTGTGGACCGAGTTCACCTGCAGGACGCCATGACTACAAAGCCCATTAATTGGGTTGTTCTGAAAACCAATAAAACTAAACATGTGCCACTACCCGAATGGAGTTCATAAAAAGTCAACATTCAAAGTAGTTATAAAATCGAAACTACTTCAAAATATGACGATCAATTTAACAAAATTGAAAGATTCAAATATATAATTCAACGAACTGAAAATCAAGTGTTCACGATAAAGATTCAAGTGTTTACGATAAAGGTTCAAGAGTTTTTATATATATATATATATATATATATATAATTTATAAGTACGTAAATTATTGACCACTTTTAAGCGATCAATCACAAAGTGGTGAACCACCGTTATGAAGGGTCAACTACAACAACTAGTTGCCCAATAGTCAAAGAAAGTGAAATCCGTACCTTAAGCGGAATAGAGAAGTAAAGCACGATCAAACGAGATTCACGGTAAAGTTTGACTTGTTCGCGTGCCTAACGAATGCGCAAATCGATTATTACTTAAACGACGTAAAATCATACCTTAATTATACTAATAAATTACTTAGGTCCTACATGTTTATAAACAACTTAAACTTCAAATATGACAGCCGGATATGCATTGAGAAATCGATTCAACACTTAGCTTTATATAAATCCGTTTCGACTTTTAATAGCTTTTAACCCTCATTTTCGGGAGCATTTTTACCCTACTTAGAGGTCAGTACATAAAATACTATCTAAATGAAAGATGTAGTATTATATGCGATGAAACTACTGGTTTTCGAATCACCTCATTTGGATTATCCATCTATTTTATACGAATATTTCAAATCAGCAGATCAATCCTAAATACATTACAAACAGCCCTGAAAACACACTGTTTCAAGCCACTTAAATTCATAACTGAATTTTCAACCCTACATGAAAGTTGTAGTATACATTAAGGGGTTTCTAACTGCAAAATATGAGTTTATTCTAACTTACGGTTTGTAAGTTATACACTGTCAAAGTATGGATCTGCATAGTCGATAAAATCCGATTCCGCAATTCCCGAATAACTTTTATAATCCAAATTCCATGATTCGCTACATTTATGTGCTATAAACATGTTTCAACATATTAAACCGTAAAACATGTCCAATGGTCGTTAACCTAAGCTTAATCATGCAATTTTACTCTTTTCGGTATTATATCGAACAATTGGTGTACCGTTAAACATATACACCAAATCTAACCATAATTAAACCATAATCTACCCTTTTAATTTCCACATCAATTTTATCAATCCTAGCATTCTAAACATGAAATATATCATACTTATAACAATATCAATCCGTAAACTTAGACATAACATCATTTATAAACCGGTCTAAAAAAAATGCTAACGTAAACACTTTAATAAAAGTGAATGAAATTTATACCTTTATGAAGGGTTCGAAGAGTGGATTCTGAATATATAATCGTTACTTCGATTGCTTCAACGATTTGAGAAATATCTTAGAGAGAAGAAAAAGTTTAGAGAGAGAGATGAGAGATGAGGCGGTTCAGAGATGAAGAAGCCGACGTTGGTTTCTTTTTCTTTAACTTTACATATATATATAATATATAATATATATATATATATATATATATAATCATTAAGAGTTTTACAGTTTTAACCCTTAACAATTTTCGACCGTTTTTTTTAAGTACAGTACAATTTCGGTAAGTTAACGAGAATGTGTTTTTAAAATTCGGGTCTTACAAACGGGTTTCACGAAAACAGACTAGTCTCACGTGATCCTAAGTCTATGTGTGTGTGTGTGTGTATATACATATATATATATTTGGGATCACGTGAGACCAGCCTGTTCTCGTGAGACCCATGAGACTACTTTTTTACACTTGAAACTTCATAGCAAAACATTGTAAAGGTAGCTTTCACAGCATTTTGGCTGTTAAGGTTTGGTTTTTTTTTTTACCTTCACAGTGTTTTGCTGTGAAGTTTCAAGTGTAAAAAATGGTCTCACGGGTCTCACAAAAATAGGCTGGTCTCAAATGTGTGTGTGTGAGTATATATATATAGACTTGGGATCATGTGAGACCAAAGGTTTTTCGTGAGACCGTAAGACCAATTCTAAACCCTTGGATTAGATCTACAATCTGAACATTCATAATCACAACATTGCCACGAGACTTCTCAATAATCATAAAATTATCACCATGCAACTTTAGACCATTAGATCATTAGCTTATAAAGTTGATCAATGAACATAAATTGGTTTTACGGGTCTCACGAAAAACCCTTGGTCTCATGTTAACTCAACCCTATATATATATATATATATATATATATATAGGGTTGGGTTCACGTGAGACCAGCCTGTTTTCGTAAGACCCGTGAGACCACATTTTTACACGTAACCTTCACAGCAAAAACACTGTGAAGGTTTAAAAAAAGTCGAACCTTCACAGCAAAAACACTGT